GGGAAACACAAGGTCAGTTAAGCTGCAGGTTTATCCATGCTCAAAGCAGAACAGCTGCCTGTGACTAAGTCACTGTGGACACCCAACTGCCATCTCCTGCAGTGGCTTTTGGCAAAGTGTAAACATGGGCCTGTACCCCAGCATGATGTGAGCCTGAACTCTTCCCATGTGCCTTCTTTGTCCTTGGTCAGAAAGGTGGTCCTTGGCAGACTGCAGGGCAGCAGATCTGCAGGAAGCAGTTTTGGGGGTCAGCGTGTTTGTGCACACCTTCACTGAGTGCTGCAAAATCTGACCTTGCTGTTGTCTGGCACGTCTGGCTGCCCTGCTCCAGGGTAAGCCCAGCAAAAGTGAAAGGATCAAGCTGCTAAACTGGGCTCTGGGAAAAGTGACAGAGGATATGGCTCAGGATTGCTGCACCAGCTCGCTGTCCTTGAGGGGGGTTGAGGGTGCCAAGCCTCACACTTTGGTGTTCTAAGCATGCTGTTTCTTTAACAGCAGAGAAGCACAGTGGGAATGACTGGCTTTCTGCAGATTTTTGTTGTTTGCTTAGCTATGTGGAGATGTATTTGATTAGAAGACAGAGAGAGAGGTTAAAAATAGGACATTAATATGATATTTTATCAAACAAAATCTTTAGAAAATGTTTATCTTGTCTCATGAGAACAACAGAAATAGAGGCCAGCACTTCTCTGCAGCTCTCTTTAATGAGCTAAATAGGGCTGTGTTCTCAATGCCTCTAGAAGTTTTGGGGTGAAATGAAGGAAGTTCTGAGCAGAATTCCTTGTAACCACAAGCACTGGGTGTGCCTGAATGTAGAGCCAAAAGCATCCTTTAATTGTGCTGTTTTTCCTCCTCTTATTTTTAATGGAAGACATTCCCATTTGAGAACCTTAGAAGCTGACATTAAGGGCTGAATTCTGCCACCCATATTGACAGTGGTGTGTATCAAACTCTCTGTAACTCTGGCAGCCAAGGGGGCTGTTTGTGTGGTGGAGCGAGACCTGTGATGTGCAGGGGAGGCAGGACCAGAAACACAACGTATTGCGGGTGTGGGGAAGGGTGTGTTATTTGTTAGATTTTTCAGAATACGTTCACAGAAGTTATATTTACTTGTAATGCAGTGAGCTCAGATGCTGTGGATGAGTGGGGGAAAAGGTGGTGAGATAGTGTCTCCTTCACTTTTCCTTCTTCATGCCAATAAATGTAGCTATAGATGAAAATTCACTGTGAATGGCTGTAGCTCCAAAAATTTCTGTATGTTAGCATTTCTTAAATGAAATAATTCTCCTGGAAAGCTCTGTGTAACGTACACAGACCCCAAAGAAATAAATAAAAGAAAATAAAAAAATTGTAACCAAAAAACGCCAAGTTGAGATTTTTAACAGTAAAAGGAGATTTTGTGTATTAATAATTCATGAGTTCTCATTGAACATGCACGAAGAAACGGTGCTATTCAATAGAGAATATTGTCATCTGTCACTGTTTTATTTGACATTTACACTTTTTTTTTTTTTTTGCCTGGTACTGCAAAACTTTCTTGGATGGCATGCTAAGATTATTTAAATAAATAATTTTAAAAAGCCGATGCAGACTTTTCATCTGTGCTTGGGGAAGGCGGTTACTTGCAGCCATAAAGAACGTGTGAGTAAGCTGCAGCACGCTGTGTTTTCTCACATATTAGTCAAAGCTATTGCCTAATAAACAGCCCCATAGGTGGATAGAGAGGGTCTTGAATGGATGCTTGAATAAAGAGAGGGAAGGGTAGAAAAGGAGTAGTGAAAGGACAGATTTGATGCAGATAAGTGTACACATGCACGCAGTGGGTATGCGTGTGTATGTGTGGGGGTGAGCGAATAATGGCTCTTGTGAAGAAAGCTACACAAATACATTGCAAAAATAAATATTTATAAATGGTGTTGGGGGAGATCCAGTCCTGCACAACATGAGAGAAGACAGGGCATTTAGCACAATGGCAATTCAGTTAGGCGCACCTTGCAATTTCTTGCTAATATTAGGCTCGTGGAAATCTTTCTGCTCTGTAGGTTAGTTATTATTTATAAAAATCACAGAACCAGCTGATACATTCATAAGCTAATTATTGTAGCAGCTGGGTACACATGGTGCAATATGTCTGAGGCTGTGAAGTATCACAGATTTCTTGGGGCCTGCTGTGGTGGGGGTGTGCTGTTGAAGGCTAGATCCCTTAATCTGATCAGCCAAGCAAATACTTAGTGGGGAAACTGGATTAATATCTCTCTAAATACCACGGATGTGCTTCACCTTCAGAACCAGGCTCCTTTAAACGTGCCATTAGCTTATGTCCTTTGGGGAATGGAGAAGTTCTCAGGTGTCCTCAGGATGGCAGGGTCCTTGCCTGGTGCCTCCCTTTGCCAGAAATTAATTTGGTTTGCTCATGTCTGCACACATGGTCACACTGCAGTCTAATCTTTTCCCTAATAGCTCCAAGGTCAGGACCTCGCATGTTGCCAGGCAAATTGAGCGCTATCCTTCTTAAAGACTAATGGCAGCGAGTGCCTAGTCCGTAATGAGGCCTGTAGTGTTGCTCTAAGTGATTGTAATGAGCGCTGATTATAACGGGACAGATAAATCAAAGCGCGGCAGTCGCCATCGGCCTGCCCGCTCCAGCCCTGGGAAGGGGAGGTGGCCCCGCCGAGCCGTGCTGGGCTCCAGCAGAGCCGCGCACCGCATCCTCCCACGGGCCTGCGCAGCAATGGGCTCCAGCTCCACCAGCTGCAGGGCTTATTCTGTACTTTGTGTTACACCACGGGTCCGCATGCTGCAGCATCTCCCGGGAGGTGTTAAACATACCTGCTTGAAACATCTTGAAAGACTTCTGTTGGAGACTTACTCAGATCACTGAAAACAGGGAGCAACAGGAGCTGATTTTTTCCTACAGATGGTTTATTTTCCGTTTCAAAAATTATTTCCTCTGTATGGAGGAACCCCTGAGAAAACATTGTGGAGCTGGGAGATTTTCTTCCTATATTTTCTCTAAAGAGACAACGTTTTGAGGGATTTCTGAGCAGTGGAAGGAAGAGAATTGAGGGTAAGAGATGTGGCCAAACCCCATTAAAATGCAGACTTCACCTGGCTGAGAGATTACCCATATACCAATCAAAACGCTTTGAAAATACAACACGGAGATTTCTTTTTCCCTAAGTAAATTATTATATATCTTGTTTTCATCCTTGCCCCCCCCACCCTCCAGCCCTCCAAGTTTATTGCAAGAAAAGATCAGGTCTGCACAAATGTGGCCTCTCACTTGTAAAAACAAGGCAGTGTTGTGTTACAGATTAGTTTATAAATCCCTGGTGGCTTCACAGTTCAGTGCCTACAGCTGCTGCAGATGGGCCTGGGTTTTTGTCTCTTCGCTGTGCTGCAGCCGGCAGTTGAAGGAGAAAATGGAATGATCAGGTTATTAACATGTAGGCCGTGAGGAAGAGGCTGCACAATGAGAACAGCTGGTGTTGCTGTCTTGGCTGATGCAGCGGAGATAATCAAATCTTGCCTTTTTTGGGGGGGTGAAGGCAGAAGACACAGTGGAGAGTAAGATAAACAAGGGCTTATGATATTATACACGGGGTTTAGAGTGCACGGTAGAAGTTGTCAATGGCTTACAAGTTGTTACACAAAAAAGCAATACCAAAAAGTCCCCCTGTGGGCTGGTAATGAACCTGGCTGTTCAGCTTACTCTGGTCACTGTTCAGAAAAACGCAATTTTGGCTTCTTCTTGTACCAAACATTTTTAACATTGATCAAGCTATCTTGTAGGTATTGTAAGGTGCCTGTCAAAATGGTGTCAGAATGCTGAGCTGTAGCTTGAAAATGATGGGTTATAAAGCTACTAGGTAAAATATTTTGACAGGAGTCAGTAAGGCGCGTTGACAGCATCCTCGGCATTATCTTCTCATCTTCTGTCATTTGCATTGCGTCTCCTGTGCAGACACAGGAGGGGAGCCACTGTCCCCAGGCCCAAGTGGGCTGGCTTCTGGCAGGCAGGACAGGGCTGGCTGTGCCCCCACGCTGGGCAGGAGCAGCCAGCAGCAGCAGCCGTGATCCCTGGCTCACCTGCTGGGGACTCCGGGTCACTCTCTGCACACGCGGGGCTGTCCTCACCCCAACAGCTCCTGCCCTTGGGGTGCGGGCTCGTTTTCTCTTCCTGGAGGCTGATGCTTTCATCTCAGAAGTCTGAGCAGTCGTGCCCTGTGGAAAGGTCCTACAGCTCCTTACATACAGCAGTAACCTTTTAAAGGCATTTCAAACTAACCTTAAAACAAGATAGCAGAAATAAAATCTGCTCTTTTTAAGATCTGTAGTTGGGTTTAGAATTACCTTTGCCTAGTATCCTGGTATCTCTAGTAACTACTGCAGGACCCTGTTTTCTGCTTTTGTGCTAGATGCTAGAGGATTCCCTTTCTGTAAGGCTACATCTTCTCTTAGATTTTATTATTTAAAGATGTAAAATTTTAATGGGGTTCAGAGCTTGGGGAGTCAATGCAACATAGTGTCAGCATTTCAGAAGTCTTGATATGATAGTATATTCTACTAGACATTTGGAAAAGTGTTGAATTTCTGGTTCTGCAGGTTGCAGTGAGGGTTGTTAGCAAGTCTCAGGAGTTATATTTCCTTTTCTCTTGCTTGGATGAAGAAGTGAAGGGGCTCTGAACTGGAAGTGAAGATGCATCTCTGTTTCATCATTGCTTTTCTGTAGCAAAAATTTTTCTATCTGAGCATTTTGAACGTGGTGTGAATATGATTGGGACAAGACACTGCTGCTTGTGTCAGTTTCTCCAACTTGGGGGAAATAGAGTATATCATGGATTTGTTGAGACCAAAGGGCAGCTTAGGGTGGTGGGGGTTTACATGTGAGATGAGACCAGCAAAACTTTCAGCACAGAGCTTTAAGCATAGCTGACCTTCGGCTCATACCTGCTTCCTCGATGCTCAGTGAATTGACTGTGCTGACCCTACCATTGCAGGGCTGGCTGTGTGAGCTGCTGCGCTGGAAAGAAAACCCAAGCCCGGAAAACCGCACCCTTTGGGAGAACCTCTGCACCATTCGCCGCTTCCTGAACCTGCCCCAGCATGAGAGGGATGTGATCTATGAGGAGGAGTCCCGACACCACCACAGCGAGCGCATGCAGCACGTGGTGCAGCTCACGCCCGAGCCTGTGCAGGTCAGAGCACTGTCTGCCTCCTCCGGGTGTCTGTGCGGGAGGGCTGGGGTAACACTGGGGCTTTCGAGAGTGTAACATGGTGAGAGGCTTTTTGTGCATTGACTGAAACTTAAAAGTACTTCTGAAATTACCATGGTGAGCATTTTGTGAGGAATGGGCCTTCATTTCCCAGCCTCATTGGGATTGTTTTGCTCCTCTATACATTTCTGACTAGTATAAATTTTTTGGTTGGTACACCGTTTTTCTACTCTTTTCTCAGCTATTAGTAGAAAGAGAAATAAATAAATACAAATATGGTATGGAAAACAAAGTGAAAATACTACAGGCTCTCTTCTTTGCAGTTCCAGCTTCAGTCAGAAAAGAAAATCAGCTTAATGTGCATTCCTAACAACTAGTAATGCACGTCACAAACTCAGACATCTATAGATGGTCAAGAGAGGCTCAGGAAATACCTCTTCAATCTAAAAAACTGAGGCAACACTTTCTACAGCAGCCCTTCAGCCCCTGGCAATTCAGCCCTTTCTTCCCTTCAGCCCTCCAATTCAGCCCCTGGCACTCAGTACCATTCACTTGATACCAGATTATGTGACCACTCTGAGGGTTGGTTGTACTGTGCATTTCTCTGATAATCTTGCAGTTCCTCCTCCCACCTTCACTCTCCCCATTGTTTGATAGTGGATTGCACTGCTTTGCTACTATTGCTGTGAGCCTTGGCATTCAGCCTCTGTTCTTTGTTGCTGCTCTTGTGCAGCTACCACTGCTGCCAGCTATCAAGTCACCTTTTTTCTAAAGGCAAGAGGTTTCTCTATCTTGTTGTCCTGCCCATCTGAAACATGTAGGTCTCACTCAGATTAATTATTGCCTAGTTAATTCTCTTTTGTCTCTTCTGCTACCTTCTTCCTCCTTCCTTTCCTTTGTGTCTTTGCCTGAAAGAAAAAAACCTGTTTCCTGGGGTTCAGGTTGTCTGGGCTATAAAGAAGGGGAAGCACCCTAAGTAATTAATTTAGCAAGTTTTGTCTTCCACATTCCAAAAAGTTCATGAGATCTTGGAAGCAAGAAGCTACAAAGAAAGGGCCAAGCTAGCATGTGGGAAGACAACTAGATCTCTGTAGACTTGAACATATTAACCCAGTTCTGATGCCCACAGCAAGTGGGAATATCCTCTAAGGGACAGAAAAAGTTTCCCTGGGATCTTGTGAGTGACCTTGATGATTAGCCTACTTTCCAAAGCCTTCTGCACATCACTTTTCTGCATCATGCAGGTTGGCTCTTGTGAGTGACACGTTACACTGTGTTGGAATGCTGTGCATTTGTATTTGTCAGCAAGTTACAAAGCCATGGATTAATTATTTATTACAGTCAAAATATGAAAAATGAAGAAAAATAAATGGAACCAGCTGGCAAGTACATGCAGCAAAACTCTGGAGACTGGTATGTAGTTGATACAGTAGGCTTGTGTTTTGGGGGTGCTGCATTTTAAAGCTATGCTTGCCCATCCAAAAACCCCATTAGGTTTCTGAGTGACACGCTACCAGTGCCAGGCACGGGAGGTCTGCTGTCCACCTACTCCCTACTGTCAAAAGATACCCAACAGCAAGTAATTTTTGCATAGTTTTCAGTTTCTGGGACTTGAATTGTTTCAAGAAGCAAGGTTTGCTTTTTAGCTTTGCTGCAAGGGTCACTATTAGGTAATTAGCCATGAAGAACCAATGACAGCAGCCAGAGATGTAAAGCTGAGGTCCTCACACTTGAAGTCATTGGAGATTTTGTGACACTTTACATAAGGGTAGGGGTCTTGGGCCCTGCTCCTGGCTGAACTCCAGGCCAAGTAATTACATTCTGCCTATCTGAAATTCCCCCTGTAGTGTCAAGTGGGAAAGCAGCTCTCATTTCTTTCTCAAAGCAGTGGCGGGTGCAGAATGTCTGCCACGGTGCCTGGCTGCATTTTAGCAGGGGGTGGAAACATCCAAAAGCTGCAGTCACCGACCTACTTTGCTTTGCAGGTTTGCTGGTGAGAAGTGTGCTGTAAGTCAAGCCCTTACCTGCAGCCTTGATAGCAAAATGACAGTCCTTTGAAGAAGATACAAGCAGCAGTGCTGCAAATAACAGCAGGTGCAGAGCTAACATAGGAGCAGGCAGGATCTTACCTCTGTTCTCTCTCTGCCCAGCCCATCTTTCTCTTTGCTCTGATGGCTTAGGTGTGTGTATGGTAACTTCTGTCTGATGCTTGAGTCTTCTGCTCCTTCAGCTGAGAGACTGGGAGAGCCTGAAAGCAGGCTGTCCCACACTGCTGCCAGGGCTCCCAGCCACCATGACTTAACCCTATCTGGGCTGGGGACATCCCCCTGTCAGACTTGGAAGAATATCCTAGCTATCATCACAAGAGGCATGACCAGGTAAAAGATGTGGCTATATTGCAGCCTTTTCCTCAGTATGGCTTCTTGGAAATGGCAGAGATATCATTGTGATGTGTTTTGTGTAGTTCACTCGCTGCTTACAGGGTTGGGAACACTTCAATGAGGGAATTACCCCAAGGCCGGGTATGGTTTCTGTCTTCTAAAAGGTGTGTGCTCAGGGGGGCAGTTGTACTGTAGGAGATCAGCTGGACACAGGCTGGTTCTTCATGTTGAAGGGATGTTGTTTGCTTTGTGAGAGGTTTTTGCCCTCACTGGTTTGGTATTACTAGCCTGCACCTCACTGTTTAGCTTTAGGTTCAGGGTTTTAGAAATAAACATTTTTATTTTTCTCTCTTCCATTAGATTTTTCCCATCAGCCATATGTTAATCCATTTAATCAATTATTTTACTGTTTCTGAAAGGAATAATGTCTACAGTGGAAGCTGAGTGTTTAAAAAATTTCTTCTTGAATACTTGGTTTGTTTGTCATTGTGCTGAAGAATCATAAAATGTGAGCCCTGTGGAGGGCTTTGTGACATGGCTGTGTTCTCTGGCAGCACTGCATTCGACCATATGGACGTGTCAGAGCATGGATTTTCCTTCACACGCTGGCTATGGAGCATCCATGCTACACCTACATGTTGCTGTGCATGCAGGCTGAGCTTGCCACAGCCTCTCATTTGGTTTTTAAGGAAATTAAGGTGTTCAGTAAGAGTCTCTCCCTCCATTCCATGCAATGTGGTACTGTAATAGCAAAGTGCTGCTAAGAAGAGCAGTGAGGTTGTTGCTAGCTGGGGTACCATAAGGACATCACTTCTGAATTACAGACTGCCTGAGCCACAGGTTCCAGGATATCCTGGAAAGCATCATTACATTTTTGCTGTGTTCTCATCCTCTTCCACCACCACCAGGAGTGGGATCCTGGCTGGCCCTTTGATCTGGCCTGACCTGGCCCTTAACAGTGTGCAAAGTATCCCTTTGCAGCAGGCAGTGCTTGTGATTCTGTGTTTAGCTTCCTGCTCTGCAGAGGTGAGCCTTCCCTGTCTTACTTCCTATCCCTTGCTAAATCCCACCATTCCCTGGCTGTTTGCTGGCATTGGACCTTTCTGGAGTGTTAATGCTGACAAGTGCCTACAGCTGCTTCCCATTGCCAGCCAGGGATTCCGTGTTTGTTACAGACATGCTGGGACACAGTAAATCTAATTTCTCTTCCTTCTCCCACTATTTGTGTGCTGTGTCCAAGGTGACCACTCTAGAGAGTAACCATCTTGCCTGGCACTTTAATATAGTGCTAATTCATTGTTAATTGCTGGGGCAGAGAAACCTGACTCCATTGGGAAGGCCATGAATCAGGCTGTTGTCTCTGGAGTGTCTGGGTGGATAAGATGGTTCTCTGGGGTAATGAACCACCACTGCAGCAAAGTACCTTCTATTCAGAGAACATGCAAACCTTGCCTCTCGTTTTCTTTAAATTAACAGGTAGATCTGAAACTGGTAGGTACATACTTATTTAAGAGCAATCAAATGTTGCTTTCTGATGCACTGTTACTTATGTCACTTTTGAAAATTACATTCCTCCACCCTTTTATTTCTCAGAAGCTTTGATTGAGACAAATCTGGTAATATATAATAATTCAGATCATAAATCATGGAGGAACATTAGTAAATAAAAGAAGGCATTGTAAAAAGCTCTAGGAAAGCTCTTCTGTATTGTGTTCACTGCAAACATTGTGATCTCTCTTTAAATACGCAGAAAATAACATACCACAGAAGTAATGAAATACTAATTTTATAATTTTGTGAGGGATAGAAGGGAATGAGTATTTCAGAAGCAACAATGAAATACAAAAGAGCAAAACATGGAGCCCTCATAAAAATGGGTCAAGGCAAGTGGTGATGGCAGTCCAATGAAACTAATTTCATATTCTCTTTCTAGAAGTAATAAAGAGGGGGATGAACACCACAGTAGTGCTTTCTAATGAAATATCTAATTCAAAATAATGTCTTGGAGTTCATGGGTCACATAATGCGTAGCACACAGATGGAAAAACCAGTGAGACTTGAAATTTCTTTAAAAATAATATTAATTAATAATACTTAGGCAATCGTAGATGATGAGTGAAGCAAAACTCTGTTATTCCATAGGGGAACATGGTGTGCTTAATGATCTATAGGATGATGTGCACAGTGAGGTTTTGCTATGTTTGTGTGACTTACACCAGGGGATTTTGTATACTGGAAATTAGGACTGAGTTGTCTATGAGACTTGGACAAAAGTTACATTCCCAAACCGTGCTAGCTCTCGGAGTCTGGTCCCTACTGTTTTGAGACATATTTTTTTTGCGAGGATGCTGTGCCCTGTGGCTCACTCTTAATCACTGCATTGTGATAGTTTTGCTTTTTGATCATTTCTCTGCACCCAAAAGACAGACCATAGATTGATACCCACTGCTTTTTGACTCCCCAGTTCTTTAATCCATGGCTGGATGTGATGTCTGCTCAGACAGGGGTGGTCCAGGCTGGTGTCACAACTTATGGTCAGCAAATCCAGATGGACTTTAAAAGAAACTTGTATTGTAGGTTATTCATTATACTCAAAATGCT